GAAGCCCAAATGCTACTTCGAAGGGACATGTGCTTCCATGTGTTCATTGCAACATTGTTTATAATGGCCAAGATGTGGAGGCAGCCTGGGTGGTATAATATACACTGGAATAAAGAGCAGGTAGTACATATGAGTATATACAAAGGAATATTGCTTGTCCATTGGAAGGGAATGGGTTCTTGCCATCTGTGGTGACATGGATGGACCTGGAGGATGTTGGGCTGAATGGAGTATGTCAGACAGAGAAAGATGCAATGGCAATGTGATTTCACTTATATGTCAATCCAAAGAACAAAATAAACAAAGCAGAAATACACTCATATATACAGAGAACATTTTGATGGTTGCCATATGGGAGGGGGTTTTAGGGGGTGGGTGAACAGTGGAAGGGATTAGAAGTACAAATTGGTTGTTACAAAATAGTCATGGGATTATAGGGTATAGTATAAGGAGTATAGTCAATAATAGTGTAATAACTATGTATGACGTCAGATAGATACCAGATTTATTGGGGTGATAGATGGAAGAGGGTTGGGGGGCAGGGTGAAAAAGATGAAGGGATTAAAAAGTTCAAACTGGTAGTACAAAATAGTCATGGGGGTGTGAAGTAAACCACAAAGAATATAGTCAATAATGTGGTAATAACTATATATTGTGCCAGGTGAGTAGTCAGGGGGATCATTTCTTAAATAATATAAATGTCTAACCATTATGCTGTGCACCTTAAATTAATAATATTGAATGTCAACTGTAATTAACAATTTTAAAAAGGGGGTAAAAGTTGAAGGGGAATAAGAAGTCCAAATTTCCAGGTATAAAACAAGTCAGTCACGGGGATGTAATGTACAGCACAGGGAATACAGTCACTAATATTGTGATAGCATGGTACAATGTCAGATGGTTGCTGGACTTACCATTATCACTTCTTTAGATACATAAATGTTGAATAAATATGGTGTACACCTGAACCTAATATAATATTGTATGTTAGCTGTATTTTAATAAACATCTTTAAAAAATAAAATACATGAAAAAAAGAAAATAACCATATATATTTTTTTAAATGTGAGAAGAGTGGTATTGTTATACATTTGTGCAAATCTCCTTAAGACTGGTTTAATAGACAGCAGCTGGATACTCATACTGGCTTCTGAATTTAATATGTTGTAATATTGGACATCATGTAGACTCTGGAAAACTCCACTCTACTCTCATCAGATAACGAGTGAAAAGGAAGTAATATCTTAATATTATTGTAAAATGGTTTTAACCTTGAATATCCCTTGAAAATGTCTCCGGGACCTCCCCAGGGGTCCCAGGACCACACTTTTAGACTGCTGTTCTAGAGAATCTATGTAACTCCTTCCAAATCTGTCAACCTCAGATCTCACCAGCAAATCTGTCACAATATTACTGACATATAGGGTGATTACTATACTTTCTAGAGGAAGTCATCCCTTTTTACCACCAGCAAGTTACACAGTACTGCCAGCAGTTTTAAAGATCAATGATTAGAATGCCAGTTTTGAGAGTTTACTAACCCCACATTATAGACCATATTTTCTTGACCTCAGCATTATCAATATTTTGGGTTGAATAAGTCTTTGTTGTTTGGGCTCTCCTATGCACCGTAGGATGTTTAGAGGCATTCTTGGCCTCTACCCACTAGATGCCAATCCCTCTTCCCCATTGTGACAACGAAAAATATCTTCATACATCACCAGATATTCCCTGGAAAGAAAAATGATGCCTATGTAAGAACCACTGTGAGGCTAGGTGGTGAGGCTAGGACACAGGGTTTCTGGCTCTGACTTCGTCATTTGTGTGGATAGCTGTGCCTTTAACTGGAGTAGGGAATAAAGGGGGAAGTGTAGTCTGGGAGAAAAGACACTGAATTCAAGTCTGTGGGGTTGATTTTGAAATATCCAAGGGCTCCCTCTGCATGGTTAGAACATGGATAGGGTTATCAAATGAACCAAAAGACTAGAAGCAGAGTTTCTCTAGGATCACACAAGAACTCTGAGAGAATGTCATGGAATGGGATATCAGGGAGGAATTCTTTTCATTTGTTTATTATGTTCCAGGCACTTCATGAGCTCTCTTATAAACATTTGTTATTCTAGCTAGTATGAACTTTTTAGTGATGAGAAATTAGATTGAGATAAGTTGAGTAACTGTTCAAAGTCAAAAAAACAAAACAAAACAAACAAAAAAAACCCTTAAGTGGCTAAGTTTGATCTGCCTCTAGGGCTTTCTATAACTCTTTACTTTATTTTGTCTCTCTTTCACTTCCTCCCTCCTTCTCTCCCTTTCATTACTCAAATATAAATGGCTACTATATGCCAGGTATACACTAGAGTAAAAAATAGATACTGTCTTTGTCCCTTATGTCTCTTTCAATCTAACAGCAAAGATAGAAAATTAAACAAGCAATAACAAAATGTGTTAGTAGTTATTATCAAATAATCACAGTGCCACGGGATGACAAGGCTATTTATTTCAGTCTCATCTTGAAAGGGGAGATCAGAAAACGCTTCCAACAGGGGGTGACTTTTAAACTAAGATCTTAGTGATGAGTAAGAAATAGAAAAAGAGGGAGGGAAGGAATAGTCTAGTCTGAGGGAACGCTACGTGTGAATCATGCCTCTGTCAATTTCTTGCTGTTCTTAAGTCTAAATTCCTTTGTTTTCTTTCATCTTTACTACCAATGACATTTGTATCAGTTTAACATATAATTTCATTAAACCACATAAATATGTGGTTGTATATATTGAAAGTACCTTTCTCTAAATTTTATTTACATTGTACCAGGAGAGGCAGTATGGCGTGGTAAAGCTTTGAAGCCTAGATTCAAATCCCAAGTCTGTTAGATTTCTGGAAGAGAGGCATTCAGGAAAGCATTTTGCTGCTGAATTTTCTTTTCTTTCTTTTTTTTTTTTTTTTCATTTGTAAAAAGGGTATTGTAAACACCATGTAAAAGAATACGGATGGAGACACATGTAAATGTAGGCTCTTATCAATAACTGGACTATTATTCTGCCAGGTCAAAGGATCAGTATGAGTACAGTCGTGAAATGTGAACACAGAAGGCATGTTTGAGAAAAAGCAAATATTCGCTGGAGCCTTGAGATCTGATGCAGGAAGGGACTGAAAAGCAAGTTTAAGCAGTACGATGGTGGGTCTTAAATACCAGAGGGAGGAACTCACTGAATTTAATAGTTAATTCATCCCATGTAGATAGATTATCACTCTTCATTGCTTGACACCAGAGCAAGAGCCAGTATTCTCTGGGGAATTTTATAACATCTGGCAATATCTAAGAAGCTTTTATGAGTAGCAACATATAGGCTGTCATTTTCACAACTGATTCAGAAGCAGTTTAAATATTTATTCAATTTCCAAGTATGCCTGGTTTGATGTTGGGCTCCAGAAAGCTGTTTACAGATGCAATAACATTTCTGAGGCACAGAAAAAGAAATATAAATATAATGCTAAATTTAGAAATATCTTAGGATTTTCCAGACTATGGTATGTAGTTGTTCAGCCAAGCAGCTTATGTGTCTATGGGCAAGGTGAAATGGTCACAACAACCAGAGAGAGGCCTCAAGGACCAAGAATGTGGCCTTCGTTAATTTGCACTGACAGCACAGGACCCTGAGATAAACACTGCTAATGATGTTGAGAAAGCAAATGTTAGTCAAGAGTATTCAGAGAAAGGACTCCTAGAGGCCAAGGAGTATGTTGGTCTCAGACACAAATCGAGGATCTTATTGAGAAGAACTCTTGAAAAAAAATGTACAATCCAGGAAGGAGACATTGTCCAAGATTCTGGAGTTCTAAGAGATCTTCTTGAGGAGGCCAGGGGGGAATCTAGTGTTATATCAGAAGCCTGGATCCTGGAGGCAGAAAACCTGGCTCTGAGGCCCAGTTAGGAACTATTAGCTGAAATCTTCTACAAATCACTTCATCACCCTGAGACTCATTTTCATTACCTGTAGAGTGGAATAAAGTTAGAATCTTATTCATAAAGTTGTTGTGAAAAAGAAATAATATTATATCGTAAAAGACTTCTATGCATTTTAGGTAGTATACGAAATATAATACATAAAATATAAGTTGCAGACCAGAGAACTCAATGAAAAAATGTTTTTAAAAACAGGAAATGATTAATTTGTTTTAGCATTTTAATAGTATATATGTATTTGTGGTATTTGGATCACAATGGTTTTTTAGACTCTTAAGCTGCCCAAATTTTATTTTAAATATCTATAGTTCCTTTCCAATAAAATTAAAAGAAAATTACTGTTTGAAAATTAAGTATTCAAACAAAAACATAGTCTAATACTTTTTTTAAAAAAGAGCATGAATTGATGCCGTCACTCTATAGACTGAGCCAAACACAGGATTAGAAATGCCCAAAGTATATACACATAGTTCTTGCACAAAGTGTGGTTTAGAATTTAGGATTCCCTCCCCAATGAGAGAAGGGACGAGCCTATAGTTCAGAAAGTATTTAAAATTAACTTTGAAAGACCTTCCCAGTCCAGGTACGAACATTCATTGCTGCACCTCTTTCACTGTGAAATGAGCTTCTGGGACAATCAGAATATGGGGCCATACATTTTCCATCTAGTAGCTAAATATTTGGAAGCAGACCTCCTGAGACAAATGGTACGAGACATTTATTAAAGTTTTACATACATGGTCAAACTGCTCATTAGAAAGTTTTGACTATTTAGAATTCTTAGTAGTAGTGCAGGAGAATGTCCATTTCCTCACTGCAGTGTCAATATGGGATATTAAAAAGTTTTCTTTAAGTTTTAAAAATCTGCTAGAGTATAAACAGTATCTTACCATTATGTTTTGTATTTCTTTGAAAATAGATACATGCATTTTTTTTGTCCTAAGAGTTTTGTTCAATATTGCAAATACAACTATTTGACCAGTGGGTATTCACAATTTCATTTATAAGACATTTACAAACCTTTCCTCATCCCCTTGTAAATGACGTGAAAGTGCTGTTTTTCATGCATCCCGAGTGTTACATTTTCCAACCTTCACCTTAAATTTTAAAAACAAAATCTTACAAGGAAAAATGGTTTAATTTCTTTCATTTTCGGTATTTGAATAACATTTAGACAAACATTTCTAAACATTAACTTACAGAAACAAAAAGGGAGAGCATTAGAACGATCTGCAAGATGAATTAATGTCTGGAGTGGGTAAGATAAAAGGAAAGATGAATGGGAAGTCCATGTTGGATTTAAAAGCTAAAACTCTATTTAAACCAAGATACAGATCATATAGTAATACAAGAAGCAGATTTAAAGACATACAAAAGCAGAATTAGGAAAAAAATAAAACCAACCATACAGAACTCATTTCCTGTGCCCAATGACCAATAAAAGAAAGGTACAATATTCCAGTAGTACATTCCAGACCTGCCTTCTGACCTTTGAACTTGGCATAGACACTTAAATTCCTTGGCTTTGGATTTTTCTGAACACAAAAGACTTGGAATCATATTCACCTTTCCAAATCATTGTTCTTGAATCCCCTGGGTAATATCCTTTGGGTCATAAACTTGCTCTTACTTCAGATCACAATGGTCATATGCAGCACTCGCACTGGAGGGCTGCAAGGCTGTATTTGGATAGTTCAGGTAGAAGAAGTAGTGATGGGTAAACGTATGCGCTTTGTGGATGGAAAAGATTGTCTGAGCCTTGCATCTTTTTCTCAGTAGTAGACATATATATATATATAGATAGCAATGGCTTTTACTAATAATAATTATCTCTCATAATTCCCAAACATGACTCTGGGTCTTTATTACATGCTATTCTGAATGCAAACAAAGGTCTTCAACCACTCATTTACTCAACCAGCTCTTTCAAGATATAGCTTGGCTCTTACCCCTTTTATGATGCCTTCATTGATTCACCTAGTCTGTTAGTTGTTCTGTTCTCTGTCCTTCTACAGTTGTTTGAAGAAATGAACAACAAGTGCCAGGCTGTTTTGTAATGTTTCCAATTAAATATGCGTCTCCACAGCCATGCTGTGAATGACCTCTGCTTCACCAAATCTAGCAACCTCTGCACACAGCAAGCCCTATATATATCCTTCCTAAATAAGTGTTTAGTGACACCAGTGAGGAAAGCAACACAAGAAATGTAACCTTCATGCCATAGAATAGGTGAAGTAGTTGAGGTTTAAGCGACAAAATGGCTTGCTGAAGGGTCACCCAGCTAGGTAATATCAAAGCTGAGACTCAAGTCCAAATTCTCTGAAACTAATCCTAGGATTCTTTCCCCTTCAAAAAACCACCTTCAGGGCTGCCCAAGTGGTGTGATGGTTAAGAACTGGCTTGGGATGCCAGAGGGCCCCGGTTCGGATCCCACATATGAGGGCCAGTGACACTGCCCTCTACAGCTAAGATGCTGAACAACAGCTCAACCTGGAGCTGGGCTGCTGTGAGTCGCTGGCTACGGCATAGGCTGCAGCCCCTGCTGCATTGGGTTGCCATGGGCTACCCTATGTAGCCAGCAGCCAGTGTGAGTGGCCAGCAGCCACAGTGAGCGGCCGTCCAGAATCTGGCAACTGATCTGCCTCGCCCGGGAAGAGCGCAATGATGGTGCCAGCTTGGGCCAGTGAAGCAACGTCCTCCACATCTAGACTGAAGAACAAAAACAACAGCAACTTGTCTGTTCCCCTCCCCCGACTCCCCAGCGCTGTTCCCCTCCCCCAATTCCCCAATAAAATATTAAAAAAACAAAAAAAACAAAAACACCTTCAAGTTCAAATGAGATGATAGAACACTTAAACAGAATAGTCATAAAGAACTAGTGGCCAAAAGCTTAGACATACAGCAGCAGCATATGAGGTGTTCTGGGTTTGTCATTTCAAAGCAAAAGTTTCAAAGGTTAACATTTTACTGGCTTTTTATTACATAAGAGGAAATACTATATTCTCCCTGAGCTTATGCTGAAAGATGAGGTAGTAAACACTCAGTTTCTAAAACTTGTGGCTTCAAAGTAGTTCCAGACTGGTGAAAAAATCCACAAATTAGAAAATTGTTTAAAGTGTTACAAGTCTGTGGGTATGTATTTATAGCCATGTTCAATTTGTGCAATGCTTTATAAGTATTTTAAGTGGAAATTCCTTAGGGCAGGAGTGCAAAGCTGGTTAATATAATATAATATTCTCCCACTTTAAAAATTAAAAGAAAAAAAAACCCAAAATACAGAGGTTATAGAGTGACTTCAGACCTTTCCTTGGTTGGTTGAACCAGATCATGGGACCAAGAGCTGTCTTACGGCTAAGACTCCTCTTCCATCCAGAGTGCTCAGCAGATTCTGGTCTGTGCAATGGAGTGTATTTATTCAGAAATATCTGTGGGATATTCACAGCAGAGCTGGTGGTCTCCCAGGGTGCCTTTGAAGAGCAACAGGCTTCCAGCTTTCCAAAGACAGTCCCATACTGAGGTTAAAGCTTCACCATTGCTTGCTCAACTACTGCTGCCCCCACCTCCACTCTCCCATCCCAATACGACTATTAAATCACTAATCTCGGTGAACACATACCCACCGGTTGTCCCAAGATCCAACTTCAGTACTGTCGTAGGCCTGTTTTGCCATTTCACATCCAATATTACTTCTTATAAGCCTATTACAAGCCTATTGCTTCTTAGTACTGAGCCTCTTGGCACCATCCTTTCTTCCTTCCCCACTGTGACTTGGTCCGGGTCACAGTACTTCTAGGGAGCCTCCCTGCCTCCAGTCTTGCATCATTCTGATCAGTTATCCGTAACTGAGCCAGATTATTCTCCTAAAATAGAAATCGGACTGTGGCTATTTGTTAAGGGTTTTAAATCCCTTAAATTCCTTTTGGCTGACCCGTCTCCTCTTGACCCAGCCCTCACCCTAAACTCTTGCACTTTATTATGGCTTCGGAGGCCTTCACGATTTGCCCCTGTGTCTCGCCACCCTCATCACTCATCGCTTTTTGTCCTCTATGCTCCATCCAAACTGAACAACATATGGTCCCCTAGAGGCACCTGACTGCTGTATCCACCCTATTTTCTGGCCCATGTAAATGCAGTTTCCTCTATTGGGAGCATCCTTATACCCTATTCCCCACTCCATTCCTTCTTGCATCCTTGGCCTCGTTAATGTCTACTTATGCTTCTGTTCTCAATCAACACACACCAATTCCTTCAGGAAGCCTCCCTGAGCCCTTTAAGCTGGGTTAGGCCTCACGTGCTGGGCTGGTTGACACCTGGTGTTTACTCCTAGCTAATACAAACGGAGCTCTTTTAAAACTGCACATTTATTTGTGTGGGTTTCCCCTATTATACAAATCAACAGTTTGAGTGCAAAGACTGTGCCTTTTAATTATTTGCGTAACTCTACAATAGTGAGCATAATGATCACACATAGTAGGTCTTTAATAATATTAGTTGAAGGAATAAAATGATCAAATTAGTAAATAAACAGTAGATTTTTAAAAAAGAATTGATATCATGAGGTCTTTGTAAATTAAAAGTTGCATCATCTACGAAGATTAACATAACACCTCCCTAGCCCTTGCCTAACAGACATCAATATTGTAGTGTAGGGAATTTGCTCACTTTATGGAACCTTTGCATGTGTTTATCTTTGCTGTTTTATTCATTGGGAGTAGAGCTAAAGTCGACAGTGGAGCTGTCATAAGCAAAACAGCTTGAAATAATTCTTGGCATTTGTCTCAACTTTGCCAATGCTGAGGCTTTATTCTGGCTTTGTCTGTAGATTTTATCAGCCAATGGGGCCCCTGGCCAAAGTGTTTTGGCACTAGTTAAATAACCACAATTTTATTAAATGAAAAATGAGTCAGAGGCTATAAATTAGTTCCTGGTAATGGTTTAGGGGCATGCCTCCCAAACGTTTGCATGCATAGGAATTCTGGAGACGCCTGGAGATTCCCTTGTCCCCACCCTCAAAGACACTTGGGACATGTTTCAAGAATTTGCATTTCTAACATCTCCCTGGTGAAGCGGGTGTTGGCAGTTCACAGGCTGTTGCCTAGCACCGGGGAGGTAACAATCAATAGTTACTTTTTGAGAGCTTGCAGTGTGAGAGACACAACAGGTAGAGAAAGCTCCTGCCAACAGGGTATCCAATCAATTCCACCAAGCTTATTGCGTGCCTGTGGTGCCTCCAAGTGCTGGCATACATATGGGATTCAGACACATGTGAGAAGCCACCTCAGCTCTCTGAGGGCTCCCCATGTAGAAGCAGAAACTGACAATGATAACTGAGACTGTGATTCAGACAACAGTTGCTTGAGATAAGCAGCTCAGCTTCCCTAGAGCCTAGACTAACATATGTGATGGGCAAAGATCAGAAAGACAGTTTCAGGCCAGATCACAAAGAGCTTTGAATCTCATCTTAAGGGACTTATAGGGCTGGAACAGTGGCTCAGTTGGTTAAGAGCTCGCTCAAGGGTGCGAGCTCTGAGCAACAGCGGTTCCAGTCCCAGCCAGACCTGAGCTGCCGCTGAGCTGCCAACAGGTGGCAGGATGGCTCAACCAAAAAAAAAAAAAAAAGGATTTATAACGCTTACATGCTTTTGTCTGTCACGAGGAAAACACGATTTTTTGAAAAAGAAATTATATTAATAATGTCTTGGATCACTGATAGCAATTTCTGATAGCAATCCGCATGGCTTTATGGATGGACTGAGATGGAGATAAGGAGATGGGTATGGAGGTGATTGCTTTTTTCCAGCCAGAAGTAATGAAAGCACAAAGCGGGGAGTGACAGTAAAGTGACATTATTAATACACATGTACAGTGGCCTTCAGGCACAGCAGTAGAAGGCCTGGGGCTTTCTTTCCTCTCAGTGATATTTAAGGCGCCACGAAGTTCTTATGAGCCCGCTCATTGTCTCTTCCTTCATGTTTAAATAAAGAAAAGAATCAAGTCTCTTTTGTTTATTCATGTATTTTCAGCACATACTAAAGTTACTGGCACATAGTAGGTGATAAATAAATATATGTTGATTAATTGCCAAGCTGGAAAGGGC